ATTATTATATGGCTTTGGCTTGTGGCCGATATAACGCGCGCTCTGATTGGCTAAGAGCGAAATCTGAGCGATCATTATGCAGCCGTAATGCACACGGGCCGATTACGGATTATGCGAATTAGGAAGAGCCCGGCTCGGAAAATTCAAGCGCATTGAAAGGATGAAAGCCGCTTAAAAACAGTAAGAGAAGTAAATTTAATTCCGAGTAGCTAGAAGTTTACGGATTTTTCCTTAATAAAATTTATATAGAAGTCGTTTTTGACTTACCAGCCGGTAACCTTGGCGGGCACTAGTGAAAACTAATCAAAGTTTGCCGAGTCTTAAGTAAAGCTAAAATCGTTAAGTGAAAAACACCATCGGCTGATCTGTCATGCATCCTGAGCAGAACACCAAGAGGAAACTTATAAGTTATCATCTTAGTCACAACAATTACCGAAATATTGAATAATATTGCATAATCCCATACAGTCATCGGATATGAAACCTGAGAATCTCTTCCTGATAAGAGTTAATAGTTAATGAAAGTAGTGAAAAATTGCCCGATGAGAGTTAAAAGTTAATGAAAATAGTGAAAACTAGTGTGCCTCAAAGGTGAGCCTGCTCGCAGGCTAGACATACACAGTATCCAAGCTACTGAAAAATTCATTTCGGTCTGTTTTTTTATCCTCAGGAGGAAGAGCTTGTGTGATGTTGAATCAGTTTGAAGAAGCTATCAAATGGTGTGAGGAAGGACTAAGAGTATCCTTAATAGCTTAAAAGTAATCGGCTATTGCGATATCATTTAAAAGTGGGGTCTTCCTTAACCACTTCTAAAATAATGATACCATACAGTGAAACCTCAGTATAAAACAGTGCCAATTGGCAGGGAGATAGTGTTCATTGTAAGAGGGGTTTGTTATGCTGAAGGTGCGGTGGCCTCATGGTCTCATGGTTAGTGCGCTCGCCTCCGGATCAAGCGGTCTGGGTTCTAGCCCTGGCCAGCAGGGAACCTGTGTTGTGTCATTGGGCAAGACACTTTGCACTCAATGCACACTGCCTCTCTCCACCCAGGTGTATAAATGATCATAAACGGGCAACCCTGCGATG